AGTTCCTAACAACTGTCAGCTCACGCCGCAAGCAAGCGCGGTCCTAGGCTTAGCCGCTCGCCATCAATCAAAGCGCGATTTTTTCCACATCATCCCCAGAGATCCCCTCAAGAGGTTCCCCAAGCATGCGGATGTGCGCGTTCCCCGCGCGGCGGTCGCACGCAGGCAAAGCTTAAACGTGTGTCACTTGACAAACCACGTCTCCTACCCTACAAGGAAAAGCTCGCAAAAAGCATCACCTGGTTGAACCCCTGGACAGCGCGAAAACGTAGCGGGGGTCTGCAAATGGCACCCTGCTAAAATCAAAAGACTCACTCTCCGACATCTCCTCCTCGGACTCGCTCTCGAGTTCGTGGCGGATCATTCGGAGCGCGGCAGCCTCAGCCCTCCGACGAGCGTCCTCGTCCTCACCCAACGCGTCCCACACTAGCTCCTCGAAATCTGGGCGCGCTTGGAAGCGAAGTTCCTCCACGATGCGCATCCGATCTTGGATTGTCATGTAAGCCAGTCGAGCGCCATGGAGCCAGGTAAATTGCCAGCAGACGTAGGAACGGTCTAAGTATGACGGTGTGGCGAGATGCGAGCGCATTGAGCGGGAGCACATCGAGAGCTGTGCCCACATCCGAACCTCCTCGAACAGCCGCTCGTGGATGACCCGAATCTTGCGGAGGCTATGAATGCAATCAACCAGCCGCTCGAATTGGTTAAATTCGGCGTAGCACAGAGCCTCATCCTCGTCTTCATCACGTCTGCACATCACGTAGCCGCCGCAGGGCAAGCGCATCTCCTGGTTCTGAGCTAGGGCCAGGTGCTTCACGAATACCTCCAGGGCCCTGTCCATGGCCGCTGTGTCGAGAAGCTGACTACACAAGGTGCGCTCTTGCCCGGTTTCTAGAGCCCGGCGACAAATCAGCGATGCGCAGGTCACTCCAACGCTCTTCACGGCTAAAACTCACACAGACTGACGGCATCTAACGCGTCCCGAGCCTCGAAGGGAAGCACAAGAAGTCGAAAACGCCTGCCCAAGCGAAAGGTCTCTACCCTAGTTCCTAACAGGCGCAACACAGAACTGTCAGCTCACGCGGCCAGCAAGTGCGGTCCTAGGCGTAGCCATCAATCAAAGCACGATTTTTCCACATCATCCCCAGAGATGCCCTCAGGAGGTTAGGTTCTGTAGCACATCCCGCCCAAGCGTGCGGATGTGCGGCGCTCGGTTCGCACGCAGACAAAGCTTAAACGAGCATCGACGGTTGCTTGATAAGCCCCCTGGTAACGTCTAGCTAACAAGGAACGAAGCTCGCAAAAGCATCTGGGCGAACTCCTATACAGCGCGAGTTTTCCGATCGCTGCTCGGAAACCCCTGTACAACTAAAACAACTCTCTTCAGGACGACCGGAGGTATCTGGTGTTGAACAACTTGCCCTTGAACTGCCCATCGCGCGTCATCTCGCGACGCAAGAAGCCAACCTCGCCATCCACGAAGCCGAGGATGTGGTTCATCAGGTGGAAGGCCGCTACGTCGGACCGCTCATCGAAGCCGCACCTCCCTCTCTGCAGCGCCGTCCAGCATGCGGCCCAGACGTCATTGTTCTTGAAGTGCCCGAGCGGCCTGGAGCGATGAGCGTCGAGCTGCCAAGTCTTCGTGTTCAGCGCGGTGAGGCCGCGCTTGCGGATCTCCACGACCTCGTTCACGTGGTGGCGGCAGCCGAGGCGACGGAACTCCACTTTGTGCTCGCCTCCACACTCCAAGATGGTCCTGTAGAGCTCGTGGTCCAGCTTCTTGCGTTCGCTCTTCGGAATGCCCTTGGCCCGCTCCTTGCTCTCGCCTTCCGTCTTGGAAAGCGAATACATCTTCGGCGCCAAGCCGACCCACTCGACGCCGTAGTGAGGAGCCAGCTCGTCCGAGAAGTTGCCGAGCTCGAGGTCGCCAGCCCGACGAAGCGCGAGCTC